TACCCCTAATTTTGGGAAGCCCCCGAATGTTGTATCTGGATCTGGCTAACATGTCCTGACTGCCTACAACTACAGCCAGCAAGCTCGGCCCCCTGGTGCTTAGCCGGGAATAGGGAATATGATCCCTATAGAATCCCTACATGGGTGTTTGTCAAAATTATGGTCCCTTTTTGGATCCCTATTATAATACGGCACCTAATATTTAGGGTACCCAAAAAGGCACCATAATTTTGACAACCACCCATGTAGTATGTTCCCTTCTTCCCTACTGACCATGAGTAAGTTGGTGGAGTGTGATGTAGGCACGTCAATATACGATCTGAACATGTTGCTTTCATTCCAGGACAGAGAAAACTGAAAGCCTAAAATTCTCGAGGGCTTGTTTATCTAGAGCTGAAATCGAGTTGCTCGGGCACACTTGCTGAGGCACCTTTAATTCGCTGCCTGGAGCTAGCAGTCTGGTCACTTTGGAGTCTCATGGCTAGCTATGAGTGGGGGTAGAGTCTCTTACTTTCGGACTGCAGCTTAACTTACAACCCTGACACCAAAGGCGAAGGACCAGGGACAAGGCAAGCCTGTGAAGGTGGAAGTCCTTGATTACAAGTGACCCCTATACTCCCTTTACAAGGTTCCTAGTACACCTGTTTGGGGAGCTCCCCAATTCCTTGTTCAAAGCCAGCCTTGACTGTATGCCACTGCGCATTTAAACCCCACATTTGGGGCACCGCTGAAGTATACAGGACCCTCAGCATAGAACTTTCCAAGATTGAATTTTGGAAGCCTTGAACCCTTGACCCTCTGGTCGGAAACCTTAACTCTTGAACTCGCTGCAAGTGCTCAGCGGCAGGTTCCAAGACCCCCCGCCGGTGAGGCGGTGCAATTATTTCAACTGGAGCTCGCAGTCACATAAGACCCTGACGAAGTAGGAAGGGTGCTGATACGGCTTGTTGCTGGTGGTGGGGGGGGGTTAGGCGTCTTGTTCTCGGATGTTGACGGACTCTGTTTAGTTTCGGAATGACACAAGATATTTGAATTTGCGCTTCAAGGGCCACATATGCATATACATACGCCATACATATACATATATATATATACATCTTTATACATATGTGTATATATATATATAGATCTATGTGTACATATGAGTGTGTTTGAAATAGGGGTACCATAGTCAACAGTATGTCTTCAGAATACGATCTTATACTATCTTACTTAGTCCAAGCAGCAAAACACCTCTCAGAAAAACGGCTGCCTGAGATAGAAAAGGTACACATGTGGCTGCGAGGTTTTTACTCTTTCCAAGTGCCTCTGGCTCCAGGCAAGTCCTCGGTGTTCTTACTCTATCATATCCTTGTATAAACCATATAACCCTATATTATACAACTCACAACCCTTAAAGTTCTCTTGCGCGACATGCTGGAGCCTTGAGGATGCACCCTCCGCGTGGAGGCTGACATCTGGGTCGACAGATTCATGCAAGAAAACAATTTCTTGTTTAAAGGGGGTTTACATAAGGGAGTCTATAGTGGACTAAATTATGGGTTATTAGGGCGGATGCTGGGAGTTTAGACTATAGCGCACGTTGCTCACAGTGTGCTAGTGTAAGCTGCCGAAATTTGATTCGAGACTTGAAGCACGGCGAGAAATTTGCTGAATTGTGCGCTTTGCTCGCATAGTCGCAGCGTCTAAAAAGCACGAGAGACACTTTCAATCTACTCCGTACGCTCCTATGTTTTGCGTTTGCACACTCCATTGACCAATGCACAAAGCAAACACTTGCAACAAATATGTTTGCAACAAGTTAGGTACCTCTAAAGCTGCAAGCCATCGATGCCATGATCACACTTGAATTGGGCACATGTTGCACGGCCAAGAAGCTGGGGCAATGTTTACAAAGACAAAGCATATAAGCCTTGTTACAGCCCTGCTTCGGGTAGGAGCCATACACTGGGCCCTCCCTCTTTGCAGACCTGGAATGAATCTTGTTCAGAGAGTCTTGAATTCTGAGAGGCTAAGCTCTTGGCTCCAAGCCCATCGGGTCGACCCAGTCTCTTGTACGGTTGATCGCTGCAGCGGCGCCCATATGAACACCAAGGGATGGAAGTTTGCAAGGGGAGTCCACCTACGAGGCAGCACACAGCTGTAGTTCCTGAGGGTAGCGTCCAGCAGCATGTTCGGCTCTGCTAGATGAACATTACCATCGGGGACCGACATTTTTCTGGCTGTGTCCAGGTCTAGGGGTTTTGGTGGACATGCAAGTGCAGGCTAGGGACGCTGAACGTAGAGCAGACACATGCCCTTCCTCATCGAATGTCAGAAATTTCTCTCGATGCTGTAAGCAAACTCTACAAGCTTAACGGATATTTGTTCGGGTCATATTGAAGAACTCCTGGAAATGACGTGTGGAAGTTAGGCGACCTCAAGACATCGTCTCAGGGATCTGTGACAATCCATGCCATAACAAAAGACATCAAATCTTCCTTGATGTAAGTCCTTGTCGTAACAGGGCCATTCTGGTCCAGATAGTAGATTACTTGCCACCCTCTAAATGGTGTCACTTTTTTGTATATGCATATCGGTGCGAGTACTTAGCCTCATGAGGAAGAGCCATGCTTTCATTTTATGTTGTCCTCAATACTCAAATTTGACGAAACTGAACTTCAGTCCCAAGGAATGGGCACTTCAGCGTACACCACCATATTTTCAGATAGGTTTCTTCGCAAGTTTTCCCGACGAACTAGCTGCTCGCAACACTGCGTGAAAAAGGTGCCAGAGCTTCCTCAGCATTCATTCTTCAGCATTCCAGCAGCTTGCATTGTAGTTGCTCGGTTCGCAAAGCTATGATGCTTGGACCGAAGGCTGCGAGATGTAGTACCCTAAGGAACCAGCCACCTATGCAATCGTCGTGTCCCCTCCTCCCATGTTGAGGAGTGTTGGTGGAGAGGGTTCAGTGGAGCAGCCAAACCTGCAGGGGCTTCGTCGGCTTTAGGAGATTTTGACCTACCCTGACTTACCTATAGCGCCTGGCTTTCTGGGGATTACAGTGCCGCCGACTCCTCCACCCTAGCCATCCAACCGAGATATGGCAGCTGCGTTCCATGGCAATTTGAGACATGTCTTACACCATAGCCAGTCGGAAATGTGCTGCTCACTGTTCTTTCGAGTAGTACCTCCTCTCCCGAAGCTATCCTTGCCTCCATTGCTTCTTGATACGCGACATGCGGGATTTGTGCTGGAGTGTTTGGAAGGAGCACCGCAGGGTTTGCCGTGTTGCGTTAGGTTACAGGTTCTTACGCAGAAGATGGCATCCAACAGCTGTCACAATTTGTCATCCTCAACGAAGGTTTCTGATGTCAAACCGTGTCGCAAAGCTAAGGTCACACGTCTGGCACTTGCAGCAATAAACTGAGCAGCTCGAAATGGTACATGCATAACCAATCACATCACTCATCCAAGCGAAAATTGCTCCAAGCACGCTTGGCAGTAGCCCTGGACAGGTCCTACAGAATGCCTTTCGTTTCAATGAGGAACCCTTAGTGGACCATGTTGTACTGGCTTTGGAGATGCAAAGGGGCTTCATGTTCGAGACAATTCTGGATGACCCCTCGAAGCCTGGCTGAAACCTTTAGCCCTCGCACCAATCAAAGCATTCACTTCACACGTAACTGCCTACAATTTCGTTTGATGTGGTGTGTACACACACACATTGGCTAGTTGAAGCTCCTAGCCGCCTTCGCCATGAACTATTGCCCTTTTGATTCTAGCCTTTGTGGGGAAGCCCCTAGCCCAGAAGCCGTCAACTTGAGCTCTCAGCCGGCAACCTTTAACCCTGCCTCAACCCGGAGCCCTGTAAGCCACAAACTTGTTTCCTTTGGCAGAGCCATGGAGCTGAGCGCGCAATGGCCCACGGCTGCCACCCCATCGCAAGCTGCCTCACGGCTGTGCCTTGCATCGCAATGAAAGGAACCCAAGAGTGGTACGCAATCCCTTACCTAATGTGAGCGACCGCCTTGATGTGCAGGAGCCAAGGTCAGGAAGAGATAAGTGAGCATGAACAACACGCTAGCAAATCGATAAGCTCCCCAAAAACGATACCCCCAAACAGGTGACTTATAAGGATCCCATCTGAAAGCGAAGATGTGGCATCCGGCAAGGCATCTGACAAAACATTGCAAAGTAATAGGTATTCCAACCGCAGTGTGCCAAACCCTGTAAACGATCGGCCTCCCCAAGAGCGACACCCTTGACGTTTCGGCTGCTGCTCACCTGGGGGTTTCCCAAAGATGGGGGAGTCCATAAAGAGTCTACAGCAGTTTGTGGTCTATGTGGAACATCCATACCTGTAGGTTATAAATAATGACTGAAATAGCAAGATTGGTTCCATTCTTAATCTTTGACATGAGGCTGCGCGCAGGGGAATCAATGAGTCACTAGTGTGGGGCATAGTGCTAGCAAAAAGGCAGGCCAGCGCTAGAAAAGGTATTGATCATGTCTGAAGTGGTCGATGAGAATCAGGAGTTGTTGCTGTATATATGGTTGTCTAGAATCAGAAGGGAATGGCAAAGCAAGCTTCCCGGCCGCGGCCGAAGCTATCAGCAAATCCAACAATTCCAATGGGAGCATGCTTTGTACCAGGAGGCCGATTAAACAATCTTTAGGCCTGGGGAGGCATGCAACATGCAGGGCACATCT